TCCTTTCTTCTGCTTGGTCCATTCGGCTGTTGATACTTGTGCATGCTTCGCGAAGTTCTCGTGTTGTGTTTTTCAGCTCCATCAATTCACTTATATTCCTTTCTATTTTGTCCATTCTCATTAGCATTTCATCAAATCTTTTTTCAGCGTTCATCATTTCTTTGCATTGGGTTAGAACATGGTCTTTTAGTTCACAAAAGTTTCTTACTACCCACTTTCTGAAGTCTGATTCTGTCATTTCATCATACTCGTTTTCCATCCAATGTTGTTCCCTTGCTGGTGAGGAGTTGTGATCCCTTGAGGAGGAGAGGTGTTCTGGTTTCGGGTGTTTTCATCCTTTTTGCACTGGTTTCTTTCCATCTTTATGGATTTATCCACCTGCCGTCTTTGTAGTTGCTAGCTTTCAGATTGGGTCTCTGAGTGGACATTCTGTTTGTTTATGATGAGGTTATTTCTGTTTCTTGGTTTTCCTTCTGACAGTCTGGCCCCTCTGCTGTAGGTCTGCTGAGGTCCACTCTAGGCCCTGCTTGCCTGGGGATCACCTGCCGCAGCCTTTGCACTTTCCCTGGGAGCTGCAACCCCGAGCTGTTCCTAAATGGCCATCTTGGATCATCCTATGATGTATATTTTTAAATGTATTTCCTCTTTGTGGGCAAAATTGAGGTTTGGCAACGTCAGTGTTATCATTTGTTGACTGTGCCTTACAGGAACCGAAAGGGTAGAAAGGTGAGTATACAAGCAGTGTAACAACACCATTTTGGTCCAAATCCGAGCCATGATCTTAAAACAATGAGATATATTCTTAAGTGGTTTTTAATCTCATCCACAAACAATTACCATAGGAGTTATGCCCATAATTAAACATTCCCATGAAGCTATTTTAGTTTCTGGTTCATTGTCCTTTAAAAAATTATATTTCTTTAGTGTCATATTTAGTGTACTGACCTGTTTCCTTTGGATCCTGGGAGCTAAATGAATGGTGAATATTAGCATGCATGGCAGTTCTCTATTTTTTGTTGATGTATTTGGAAAACTATAGTAGTTCCTGTATTATTACCACTATTATTATTCTTAAGCCCTGTATTTCACAAGCTACTCTAGCCAAGGGATAATGACATATTACAATGATAGTCACAAAGCATGGCTCTGCCTCTACCTACTCTGTAGAAATTCCAACCTCCTTCATACATCTTCCAAATAGCTCTGGGGGTCTCTGGGGGAACACAAGGAGAATTTCTCATGTGTTCCATAACTATGCTGTGGCATTCTCCATCCCTCTTTCCTCAACCCTCTTTCTACTCCTGTCTCTTTAACCAGGTATCCTATAAACACTACTGCCAGAAAGTCACAAAACCAGCAAAGGGGCAGTTGATGCTGATTCCTGCCAGAAGCACTGCTTCAGGTTCCAGTGTTTACCCATATCAGCATCAAGTCTGCCACTATTCATTTTGGAGGGAGCTAATATCTGCAAGGGCACTGGCTTCATCTGTTGCTACTGAAACCACTGGCACAGTCTCCTGCCTTCTACTATCTCTGTAGGAGCACCTGGCAGCACTGCTGCTGATGTAAAGCATTCTCATCCACTTAAGAGAATGGAATGAAACAGCCCTTTTAGCTTTTGCTCAGTGTCATTACAGTGCCTCAGGCTAAAGACTCAGGCAAGATTCCAGATGGACTGGGCCAGAGGACAACCCAAATTATAGCACATATTCTACATTCAGAAAACCCTCTCCGCTCTCACCATAGCCAATTGTTCTTTTAACCAAGCAAGTATGTATCTCACTTGTTTTCAGTTAAAGTGCAGTCTATCCCAGAGTTCCTTTGAAATAAGCCTGTAAGTCGGCACTTTCCACAAGGCTTGGGAATCTGCCCTGATGTGCATGAATTTTCAGAATAAAAAGTAGGCTTAAGTAAATATTCCTGCTACATATCTATAATCACATAATAGCATCGAAATGTTATTTGGGACATGTGGAAGAAGAAGGGAAGGAGTTTGATTATTTGTTTATAATTAACTATGTAAACTTTTAACATAAAACTACAGTTTGAGGATGAGGATGTTAATATAAACAGCTCACCTAAGCATTATTAGGCTCTGGGGCAAAAGATATAATTGGTAGATTATTTATAGGTGACGAAATTGAGGCAACAAAACAAATTAAAATATATTATAAAAATCCATTAAAACTATCCTTCACTTATTCTAACTCAGCTTTTATCTATTTAATAATATTCATTGTAAAGGAATATAAGTAATTTACATTTAATTTGTCATATTGAATGGCCCTTGTAATGATTGTGCTTACATAAAATCTACAGATACTAATAGTAGTTAATATTTATCTAACACATACTATTTGCCAAGCACTATAATGTATTTGTGGATTATTTTATTTCATTCTCACAAACCTTCTAGATAGCTTCTATGATCAGCTCCACATTACAGATGAGGAAACTGAGGCTTAGAAAAAAATAAATGATCTTCACAGAGACACAAAGCTGGTAAATAAAGAAATGAGGAATGAAACTCAGACAGTTCTTAGTGTCTATCCTTGTAATAACCTCCTCTTAAAAGTCACTGGACACTACTGCTGCCAGAGGTGAAGGAGCAGAAATGATCAGCTCATTCTAATGCTCTGGCCTGGTTGATTTCGAGACATCCACTGGCCTACTATGGTAGATTATCTTGTTATAGATTCATGTACAGTACAGGGGACAACCAGAGGGCATCTGAAAATTGCCAAGACAACTAGAAGTTGAGGGACCAAAACCTCGGAAAATAGAAGCACAGAGAGGTAAACTAACATACTACAAGTGGCTTTTTCCTCTGGGACATTTGCCTATTATAGTATAGGGTGAGAGACTGGCAAGCGAGGCAGAGGACTCTGGATAGGAGGGAGAGAAGCAACAGTTTTTGGAAACTCACAAGACTAGATGAAAAATAAATGAAGTTTGTGCTCACTTTGGCAGCACATATACTGAAATTAAAATGCTACAGAGATGAGCATGGCCTCTGTGCAACGATGACACGCAAATTTGTGAGCATTCCATATTTTTCAATGAAATATCATCTTACACCAGTCAGAATGACGTTTATTAAAAAGTAAAGAAACAACAAATGCTGTTAAGGCTGTGGAGAAATAGGAACATTTTTACACTGTTGGTGGGAAGATAAATTAGTTCAACCATTGTGGAAGACAGTGTGGTGATTCTTGAAGGACCTAGAACCAGAAATACCATTTGACCCAGCAATCCCATTACTGGGTGTATATCCAAAGGAATATAAATTATTCTACTATAAAGATACATGCACATGTATGTTTATTGCAGCACTATTTACAATAGCAAAGATATGTAAACAAACTAAATGCCCATCAATGATAGACTGGATAAAGAAAATGTGTTACATATACACCATGAAATACTATGTAGCAATAAAAAAGAATGAGATCATGTCTTTTGCAGGGACATGGAAGAAGCTGGAAACCATTATCCTCAGCAAACTAACACAGGAACAGAAAATCAAACACCAGATGTTCTCACCTGTAAGTGGAAGCTGAACAATGCGAACACACGGACACAGGAAGGGGAGCATCACACAACAGGGCCTGTGGGGGCGGGGAAGCAGCGGGGTGGATGGGAGGGACAGCTTCAGGACAAATAGCTAATGCATGTGGTGCTTAAAACCCAGGTGATGGGTTGATCGCTACAGCAAACCACCATGGCAAACGTATACCTATATAACAAACCTTCACATTCCACACATGTATCCCAGAACTTAAAGTAAAATTTAAAAAGAATCATTGGATCCAATAAATAAGTAAATAAGTGCAGTTTGAAGCTGTCAAGAGAACCAGAACTTTAATGACCAACATCTCAGCCCAGAGAGAAGAGAGAAAGAAAAGTGAGCTGAACACAGTTATTTTCCACAATGAGATTTGCTGAATTTATCTGCTGTGTGAAGCAGCAGCCTAAGTAAGAAGCTAAGTAGAAAACTGCTGAACAGTGGAGCCAAGTTTTCAGGTAGTTTCTTAGATCTGACTTTCCACAAAACAGAAATGGTTCTAGTAAACACAGCTTCTCTTAGTTGAGATCCCTAACAAGCTACACTCTAGCCCTAACAAGCTATACTCTAGCCATAACACAAAATTTAGACTTGAGACTTAAAAAAGAAGAAAAAAATCTCATAACCCAAGCAAAAATCATCTCAACTCCTGATTGGATCAAGGCGATCTGCCTTTAAACAGGCTGCCCACCGGAGGACAGAATGAATCCACTCTATAGGAGGATAATATCCAGAATTGCTATAATTTTTAATATATAATATCCAGTAGTTTCTCAAAAATAATGTCCAGCACTCAATCAGGTAGTAGAGAAAGCATTACTTACCAAAAAATATAAATTCAGGAAAGGATAAAGAAAAATGGAAAGATTAATATCTTAGTAAATGTAAGTTAATATTGACTGTACAAAAAGTTAATAATAAAGTTTTGTGTGGTAAAAAAAATATATAGGCAGAATTAAGATGCATATAAACAATACAAAGGACTGAAACAGAAATGAACATAAACTACAATTAGGTCACAACATTATCAAGGAAGAAGTTAAAGTACTAATTTATATTAAACTGCATGAAATCAAGGAGGCATGTGATTCTAGGGCTGTGATTCTCATTGTAGCCTCAGGACATTTTTCCACTCTTAAAAATAATTGAGGACCCCAACAAGCTTGTTTTGTAAGTTGCATTTGTTATTATTTGTCATATTAGAAATTAAAACTGAGAAGTTTAAAAAAATATTCATTTATTCATTTGAAAATAACAGCATGTCAGGTGTGGTGGTGCATGCTTGTAGTCCCAGATACTCAGGAGGCTGAAGCAAGAGGATCACTTGAGCCTAGGAGTTCGAGGCTGCAGTGAGCTATGATCACCCCACTGAACTTCAGCCCAGAAACAGAGCAAGATCCCAGTTCTAAAAATAAATAAACAAAATAAAAAGAGAGTAAAAAAGCAATAAACCAATAAGCCCATTGCATAACACAAATTATATAATTATATGAAAAATAACTATTATTCAAAGCAAAGAAATCTAGTGACAATAATAGTATTGTTTTTACATTTTTGCAAATTGTTTAAATATCTGGCTTAGTAGAAGATGGTTTTATCCTCATATCTATTATTGCATTCAATCTGTTGTGATAGCACACCCAGTGGAGCCTCTAGAGCATTCCACTTAATATTCATGAAAGAAAAGGGGAGGAAGGGCAAAATATATTAACATTATTTATTAAATAGTTGTTATCTCAGACCCCTGAAAGACTCTTGGACACCCCTAGAAACACCTGGACCACATTTTGACAACCATGGCCTTCAAAAAAAAATCCACTGAAAGGATAGGAAAATAATGTATACTTAAAAAAAATAGATAACAATATAGAGAATAATTGTTTCAATCCGAATTAAGGTTAGAAAGGACAGAAAAATTCATGGAAAAATAGAAAATAAGATAGAAGAAACGAAATTTCTTTCTGAGTCTCTTTAATGGAAAACTAGCAAATTCTTTCTAGACTGTCTTTCTTTTTAAAAACAGCCTCTTGACTAATGAGAAACTGAAGCAAATTACCACTTATTAAATGCAAACTCTGTAAAAGATGCAGTAGTAGGAGCTGCTCATTTTAATCTCTTAATAATCCTCTAATATTAGTATATTTCTATTGTATTGGTGAAGAAACAGGGTTACAGCAAGAACTAATTTGCCTAAAATTACACAGCTGGTAATTGATATGTGAACCGGGTATTTCTTACTTCATTCCCTTGTTCTTGTCATTGTCTAAGGTTTCCTGAGACAGAATTCTATTGTTTCACAAAGCATTTTCCCATGTTAGTTTCCATTTTAGCACTAAGGTATTTAGTTAGTTGACTTCCCAGGTCCTATTTTCCTTTGAAAAGGTATCAATCTTCAGTCAGAGCTAATAGTAGCAACCTCAATAATTACACATTAGGGAGCTTCTACTACTCAGCAAACATAGAAAGCAACCAGAAAATCTGGGTTTCTAATTCTTGAACAATCAGTATTTATTAAGGTACATATATATCAAAAAGGTAGTATTAACTAGTACTTTGGAACATAGGTACAAGTGAAATATGTATGCACAATGGTGTACGGTAAAGTGCTGTTTATGTGAGCAAAAAAAAATTGAAAACCAATATTCAATTATAAATTTAAATTATGCTACATAATTATGATAAAGAATCCAGTCATTAAAATTGACAATGTAGATCTGTTACTTATCGACATAAATTTTTGTGTTGTTAAATTTTTGAAGCTTTCAAAAGAATATATAATGAAAAATCCTAATATGTCATCAAATAAACTACAGTGCTATATTAAAAAAGATATATATCCCAGAAAAGTTAGGTTTATTTCCAAAACACAAGGGTGGTTTAACATTTTTAAATCAAAGAATGTAATTCATATTAATAGAATCAAGGCAATATTTACATTTTACCTCAGTAGATGCAGAAAAAAACAATTTATAAAATCTAATGCCCCTCAAGGATCTAGAAATAGAAATTCCATTTGACCCAGCAATTCCATTACTGGGTATTTACCCAAAGGATTATAAAACATTTTATTATAAACACACGTGCACATGTATGTTCATTGTGGCACTGTTTACAATAGCAAAGACCTGGAACCAACCTGAATGTCCATCAATGCTAGACTGGACAAGGAAAATGTGGCACATACACACCATGGAATACTATGCAGCCACAAAAAACGATGAGTTCATGTCCTTTGCAGGGACATGGATGATCCTGGAAACCATCATTCTCAGCAAACTGACACAAAAACAGAAAATCAAACACCACATGTTCTCATGCATAGGCAGGTGTTGAACAATGAGAACACATGGACACAGGGAGGGGAGCATCACACACTGGGGTCTGTTGGCGGGGGTTAGGGGAGGGACAGTGGTGGGTAGGGAGTTTGGGGAGGGATAACATAGAGAGAAATGCCAGATGTAGGTGACAGGGTTATGGAGGCAGCAAACCACCTTGCCATGTGTGTACCAATGCAACAATCCTGCATGATCTGCACATGACCCCAGAACCTAAAGTACAATAAAAAAAAAATAAATACATAGAATCTAATACCCCTTCAAAATTAATAAAAAATAAAGATAAAATTTTTAACAAATTAGGAAGAAAGGAAAATTGTGTAACCTGATACATGATTATTTAAACTACAAGCCTACAGGAAACATTATATTTAGAAGTGAAATGTTAAAAGATCCCCTGTACACATTACCACTGGGGGTAAGACAAGGATGCCCCATGTTAATCTATTTACCAATATACCAGAGGTCCTAGGTAGTATAACAAGGCAGGGAAAAAGTGGTATAAAGACAGAAAAGGAAGAAATAAATCTGTCCTTATTAATAGATGAGACTGTGTATGTAGAAGGTCCAAAAGAGTCTATTAAAAAGCTATTGAAATTAATAAGCAAATTATCAAGGGCACTGAATATAAGATCAAATAATTATATTTGTATATGTCAGAAACAAGCATAAAATAAAAATTTAAAGGGTAACATTCATAATATTATACATATGTCAAATGCCTATTGAAATCAGGCAAAATATATGACAAACCAATACACACAATTAGAACATTAGAACAATGGGTAAAATAGAGAGTTCCATTCACACATATATGGTTAATTGACTTATGTCAAAACTGCCACTGCAGTGCAGCAAGGAAAGATGACCTTGCCAATAAATGGTGCTGGGTTTGTAGTCTATTGAGCTACAAATAGAAGAAAATGAAATCTTACCTCTATATTATAAACAAAGAAATTCCATATACTGTGGATCTAAATGTGAAAGGTAAAACAATAAACATCTAAGAAAAAATATAGGCAAATACCTCACTGACTTCATGCAAATATTTCTCACACAAGACACAAAAATACTTAAAGAAGATGCTATAAAATTGGACATTAAAATCAAGAACTTATATTAATCAAAAGCATCATTAAGAATGTGAAAAAGCCAAA